AGCAAAATCACCTGCAGCAAAGACGCCGCTAGCCTAAAAGCACACACTCACGCACACGCGAAAAGTCACGTCGAGAAACAAAAAATGCCCCGCACATGACACAAGTTCCAGGCAAATTCTGCAGGGTGTACGCAAAACTGGCACTTACTACCGAACGTCAAGACGTTGAGATGCAACGATGCGGTCGCGATGACGTTGGCCATGTCCTCTTGCGTCGCCCCCAAGGAGGCCAGCCAGCTAACTCCCGAAGGGAGCCTTGTATATACATTCAAGGTGTCTGGCGGCTTCCGCCGCCCGGCTCAACAGGTCGATTCCAAGATACGCAAAAAGTGGTTTTGTTGTACTCAACATTCATCGTGCGAGGCAGTAGCAATTTAGTGAAAATGATCAAAACAAAATGGCTCGGGTGCAGAAAGAGAGAGGGCGCACTCGATTCGTGTCAACCGACGGAAAATGAAAATGGAAATAAAAATGACCGCGCTGCGTCATGAAGAAAGGCGAACATCGAGTGCTCGCGCAGCAGCAGCGTCATTATTGGCAAACAGACCACACAGTGTTGACAAAGAAAATGAGATGTTTCTAATTTTGGAAGTTTAGATACGCTTGGGACACACAGAGAGGGCTGCCTATATGCACATGCTCATTCGTGACAAATAAATGCACGCACATGAACGGCTGCCGTTTTTTTGTTATGCTTGATGTGTTCCTCGAAGACATGCACGTGTAAAGAGGGGTTAACATGTTGATGCAGCGGGCCGGTCGCGGCGTGTGAGAGAGCGGGAGGCCCGGACACGAAATACACGTGAAAAATAGCCGCAGGAAGCTAGCTGTGTGCCACGCGGAAAAGCGCAGATAGATACGCACACATACCCGAACAACAGCAGTATCGTAGGGGTGAAAGAAATGGTAGAGCAGCAGATTCATGGAAGCCTTCTATGTTTGAGAGGAACGCGCGGGCCGCAACGCCAGAAGTGCCCCCGGCGTCTACTCGCTGCGACGAAGTATAAGTGCGGAGCTGAAATAGTTGCCCTGCATTTTTGAATGTGCAATAGGAGGTACACTTATCAGAACTGAAAGAAAGCACCGGTCCCCCGCGGTAAGTTTTTGATCCGAAAACGGGAAGATGTTGGACTGCTGGGCATGTGAGTGAGAGCCCGCCATATGCCTATGGTGTGGGTGAGCTGAGAGACAGTCATTAGATGCGACGTGTCGTGGATGGGGAGCAGAGGAGATGGGGGGGGTAAAGATTCTCGAATGCTTGTGTGGATACATATGCGTAACCCGGGGAATTTGTAGAGGCAATAACCCGGAAGAAACGTTAATAAATGGAAGCGCTGGAAAGGTCCCGGAGGGTTGAAAGTTGAACGTTTTTGTATGCGTGTTGAACGTACATGCATATGGAGAGCCCGACGTGTGAAAGCAGACTGGCGTGTGGGTGCCGCCGAGAGAGAAAGATGAAGCCCTGTGAGAGGCGTGTGAGTAGCTGTCATGAGCAGAGGAAAGGAGGGTGGAAACGTTCCTCGAGCGAGCGAGGGGCCAGAGATGAAAAAGCGACAAAGCGGAGGGGAAAAACGAGCGGGAACAAACAAAATATGGGAGAATGGAGCCCTGTGAGAGCCCGAGAGACCCGAAATGGAGCGCTCTCAGCACCCGAGAGAAATTTCTCCTGAACGCTCGCGGAATCTTTGTGTGAAACAGATGTATATCGGATATCCCCATATGTGGATACGACATGGACATTCCTCCGTTGGTAGTCCCAACGGGGTTGTGTCGTAGCTGCATAGCTCGCACCTTGAATCTTTTTCCAGTCCTAATGATCCAAACAACGCTCCCAGCAATGGTGTGTACGTCGGCCGCCCTGTGCAGAACACAGCTCCGCACTTGGTCATGCAACCAAGCGCACGAAGAGCACTGCGCACAACACACACGGCCACGAGACCACCAGCAAAGGATCATGGTATACACTACGCGCTGGTGGGTCGGGAACACTCGTATGTAGTATGTAGTCCATCACCTGGAGCAACAGCTAATTTATGCATACGTATGAGTTTATAGCGACAGCAGCAGAGATCTGGAACATATGAGAGCGGACTAAAGATGTTCTGAGAAAACAATCGATGTCAACGATGTCAGCAGGCAGTCCTCGGCTGTGTTGTTTTTATCCTTTCTGCCGCCGCCCACAAGCCGCCGCAGGCGATCTCGAGCATAAGGTTCCTCTAGCCCTACTCACACGTTGGTACATTCTCAATGAATTTGTCTCGAAACATGCGTAAGACGGTGTAGAAGCAGCTTGAAGTTGAAGCTAGGGGACCAGTATTTTGCCGTGTCACACCCGAAACCTGCTGGTTGCACGAAAACACTCTCAAGAACTTGCTGTATTGAGACCAATTCACCAAGGAAGGAAATAGTTAGAGCTTCCGAGAACGAGTGTGAGCAGGGCTACAGGCGCGTGTGCTCAGGATCGTCTGTGGCAGCTTGTGGACGGCTAGAAAGTTCGAATGTGTGTGATTTTTTTCGTTCAATTTCGTAGGTTGTGTCATGTGTTCCGGGCAACGAGTGCCGATACCGTTGCGCCTATTTTTAGCTTCTGAACGCGGGCTTCGCGCTCTAGCTTCAATGGCCGAGTAGTCCTTGTCCTCGAGAGCCTTCTTGCGGTGCGCTCTAAATATGACGCCCCGCTCTATTGCTTCTACTATCCATGAGTTTGGTGATCACCCCTACAACCCTTACAGTACCTACGAGCGGCAAAACGGAGCAGCCGCTCTTCACCGACAACGCCTTCAATCAGGATGCGTGCTTTTGTGTTGACTACGAGAACCGAAAGCTAGCAATGAGCAGGTCCAGATTTTCGAGTACCAAGGAGAAATTGGAGCTACTGAGCCAACCCCCCCTAAACTAAAAAGTACATGTTTTCTGCCGTTTGGGGTCTTGAGAGCGCGCATCGAAAACCGATGTGAGCCAGGTGATTCTTAGAGTATGGACCGCAGACAGGTGATGCAAGAGTATGAAGAACCAGTCTCCGCGCAGACCGCGTTCTTGTCGCTCCCAGTTCTAGTGTTACACCAGGAGTTATGAAAATAATAATGTTGGAGTGGTCGTGGTGCCGTCCTTCGCTGCTCGGTACTGCAGAGGTCTAATCTCGCGGCGTGGTGTTGCCCTGTTTTTTTTTTTTTTTGCTGCCCGGGGACAGTTTTGCCAAAATGAGAATGCCTTGCGAACCATCACCCAACAATATAGGGACGCACTACGCTGCTCACTTGGCACGTGGTAGCTGGCAGATAGGTCAACCCGTAGAGCAGGAACTGCAGGTACCGGTTCGAGAGTACCCACCCACTACAGGTGCGAGATGAGGATCGCTCAGTGTTATGGTAGCAGGGCCCGCCATCAATACTTGCCAGGCCCTAAACATCTCTGCTCTCTTTCCCTGTATCGCTTTTTTTATATTTTCCCTGCGACATGCCACCAATGTTTCTACATGCATGTCTTAATTTATGAAATTGCGGGGCAGCGGGTGAAGCTCCTTTTGGCAAATTACTGTGAAGAGGGCTCCGGGCCACGTTTCATATTTGCCAACATGTCCATCCAGCTGGGGGCAACGCGAGGTCTGATGGATGCTACAGAAAGCAAATGATACCAGCTTGTGTGTCCAGCGGTTGGTTCAAAAGGTCGAAAACTGTTCAATTGTAAATCCCGACAAAGCAACACTGAATCGTCTTATATACGAATATCGCAAAAAAAAACCTCACCCGATGAACACAACTGAGCAGGATCAGAACGTTTGTAAAGACAGCAACAATAGCAACAAAAACCAGACCCTTGAACTGCGGGTCGTCCACGGCAGCTAGTAGTGGTATAGATACTGCTACAGATTTGCACATGAGGAGATTGGGTGTCGTGATGGCGAGCAGGGAAGAACATGAATGCTTTAGATTTAGATTCAGCTTAATGAAACTGCGAATTTGGACCGCAGCCGCGGCATTCGGCAACACAACATTTTGTCGGCACCATGATATTCTCTACATTGCAGGGTGGGACTCTAAAACGCTAGCACCTTTTTGAGCACCCGCCGTATCGGCTGTTTCGTCTTGACGTTGTAGTTGTGACGTTTTGTGTTGATTTTGAGAGGTGTGTGGTAGGCTGCGTGATATGCTGGTGGAGATAAGTCCCAACCTCTGCCCTGTAGAGAACCCACGTTTTTTTCTTACCGAACGTTTCCAAGTATGGTCACTGCATCTCGTGCGTATTGGCTGGATACTCTTTTGGTATTTTTCAAAAGCAGTCAAAAGTCAAAATGGTTTGTCCCCGTCCCCTAACGTCCCCTAAAAGGTACAGGGAGAAGTACAGTATTTCCCCACCGTTTGTCCATAAACTGTTGGACTGCACCGTCGATGAGAAATTCTGGCGGTTGAATCGTGCTCATATGTAGGTGAACTTGATTTGGTTGTCTCGGTGTTCAACCCGCAGCATACACCTTGGGTACGGAAGGGGGGTTCCTGCTCTATACGGCGACAGAGCAAGCCGGCAATGAATCTCGTTAACCGACACGCGACCGGGGTGTTTACGCGTGTTGCAAAAAAAGCTAAAACAAATTTACTCCAGCCCTTGGGCGTGCGTCGCTCCTACCCGTCGTACTGGAGCAAACACTTTACCGCTCTGGTTCTGTACGTCCTTAGCTGTCAGTTCGTTCAGGTGTCATTTTTATTTGGCCACGAGTATATGCTCGGAGTGGGTGCCCTCTGATCATCCTCATGATCGTTACACAGTCGCCATCTCTCACTCACACGCTGACGCTGCCGTACCACTCAAGATGCAATGTCTTGTCTGCTTGGCCAAACTGGCCATACCACCAACTTTCTTTCCCGCGTCTTGCATTTTATCTCTAAAACAAGGTCAACGTGAGCGCCAAGAAATGCCGGCATCCTGGCTGCAACAAGCAGCCCTCCTACGGAGCGGCCGGCACACGGAAGGCGCAATTTTGCGTCCAGCACGCGGAGAACGGAATGGTGGACGTCCGGAACGTTAAGCGCCATGACAGCTTCGGCCTCCGCATGCAGGCATCCTCGTTGTCGTTGCCATCACCGGCCAGCGGCGATGTGGGCGGTGACCAGCCAGGGGGCAAACTCCCCAGCACAAAGAGATGCAGCTTCCCGCAGTGCCGAAAGCGACCTACCTACGGCGTGGAGGGAAGCAAGACGGCAGAGTTCTGTGCCCCGCACGCGCAGCCCGGGATGGTGAACGTGTCTCGCAAGAAATGCGGCCACTTCGGTTGCAACAAGCACCCGTCGTACGGAGTGCGCGGGACGAAGATTACCGAGTTCTGCGCTCAGCACGCGAAGCCTGGCATGGTCGATGTCTGGGGCAAGAGGTGCGCCCACCCTGGGTGCGTCAAGCACCCGACGTACGGTTTGGTAGGTAGCAAGAGAGCGGAATACTGCGCCCCGCATGCCACGATGGACATGGTCAACGTCTCGGCCAAGAAGTGCGGCCACGACGGCTGCACCAAGCAACCGTCGTTCGGGGTCAACGGAAGCAAAACGGCGCAGTTCTGTGTCCAGCACGCTGAGCAGGGGATGGTCGACGTTCGCAACACCAAGAGGTGCGCCCGTGAGGGATGCACCAAGCACCTGACGTACGGGGCAGATGGCACCAAGATGGCGGAGTTTTGTCCCGAACACGTCGAGGACAGGGCGATGGCCGACGATTTCGCGAGTAGGTGCACCCACCCAGGTTGCACCAAGCAGCTGCCGCCATCTGGTGCGGGCGGAGGCAGGGCGACGCAGCTCTGCGCCGATCATGCCAAATCGAGGGCGGTGGGCACCCGCAACTACAGGAGGTGTGGCCATCCGGGGTGCACCGCGCACCTCATGTACGACGCGGACGGCACGAGCATGGCGGAGTTTTGCCCCCGGCATTCTGAGAAGAAAACCGTAGCCACCGCCGTTGCTGATAAGAGATGCAAACATCCAGGCTGCCCCAAGTACCCGTCGTTCGGCTTCACCGGTAGCAGAACGCCCGAGTTTTGTGTCCAACATGCTCAGGACGGAATGTTCGACATCCGCAACAAGAGGTGTTGCCACCCGGGCTGCACGAAGCACCCAACGTACGGGGTGGTAGGGACGAAGACGGCCCTTTTCTGTGCCCCCCATGCTCAGGGTGGGATGCTGAACGTTAGTGCCAAAAAATGCGGGCGTGTCGGGTGCGCAAAGCAGCCGTCGTTCGGCTTCAGTGGTAGCAGGACGGCGCACTTCTGCGTGCAACACGCGGAGCACGGGATGGTCGACGTCCGCAACGTCAAGCGGTGCAGCTACCCAGGCTGCTCGAAGCACCCTTCCTACGGCATTGCCGGCACCAAGAGGTCCAAGGCCATGTTTTGTGCGCCGCACGCTGAGGCCGGCATGGTCAACGTCCTGGGCAAGAAGCGGATGCGGGACCCCGTCAGCAGTAGCAACACGGTCGGCGGAGAAGATGGTGGGAACGGAGGCGACAACGTAAGCGACGGTGTGCAAGAGGCTGCGGGATACCTCATCGCTACTGCAGAGAGGAACACCAACGGTAGCAGCGCGAATGAGGACTCATCATCTAACCGCCCCGGGAACCCCGCCCGCGTCGTGGAGCCCATTGCGGCGGGCTTGGTTGTCGGGGACTGGGTGGCAGATGGGGCGGTCGCCAGCAAAGACGAACGCATGGGTGAGGCCTACCAACTAGTCGAGAAGCAACAAGAGCCCCATCAAGAAGACACCCCTGAAGTTGGTCTGGGCCCTGCGTGGGAGTCCACCGACAATGCCCAGGGAAGTGCACGGGGTGAACCGTCCGCTGGGTTCAGAAGGAAAAGGAGGATGCTGGATGACGTTTAAATGCGAAGTTCAGTTTCGGCTAACTCCACAAGTCGGCCGCGGGGGCGGGCTGGCATTTTTGGGCTCTCATTTATTCCGGGTGAAGGGGAGGGGGGCGGCGGGGGGGGGGGGGCAGCCTTTTTTTCATGATCGAGTCGTGCGCGTTGAATCGGAATACGTGCACCATGTGTGTTCTCGCTCACTCGTTTTTTTATTTCCGGGGCCATTCGGAGATTCGACAATCCGACCGATGCTGCAGGGGGCAGGGGGCCAATGAGGTGGCGACGGGGCAACAGCGGCGGCGGTGGGTGGCGGATCTCCCTCAGCGGGCCCATGGCAGCTGAAGGTGTGTGTGTGTGTGTGTGTGTGCGAGTATACCATCTTCTTTTCTCCTGTTGACATTGCGACTGCACTAAACGGTCGACCGGCATGAAAGCGTCGGTCTCAACAAACAGCACACAAGCGAAACAATTTTGTGGGATGCTCCGGCAGGGTGGCCATGGGGGAGCGTCCATGATGTACTTCAAACACAACGTGTTGTTTTGAGTGTTTTTTCCCGTTGACCCCCGCCCGTTTCAGCGCTCATGTGGATGTTGGAGTTGTGTGTTTCGAATCGTTCTTCACCTTGGTCTTGAAGTGGTGGTGCAATATAGATGTGTCCTTTCGTGTGACAAACGGCACCAGATCAGTCTTGGGGCGTGTTATCGCTGCGAGGGCCTCGCAAACAAGTCATGTGTCGATTCTCTCCATATTTTAGTTGTTCGACTCGAGCGTTTTGTGTGGTACGTTTTTTTCAGCGGCCAAACCATCGAACGGAGAAGGGCGCGCATACCAGTGCACGACAAATCGGGTACCTTGAAGCTGGGTCAGCCCTCGCTTCGCGAAACAAATACTCTCCGAGTCCAACGTGATTGTATTTCCTCACTGCACAGGAACAACAATACCAACAACAATGTCAGCGTATCCGCAAGCCGAGTGAGATACCACGACACAGCCTGAATCGATTTCCAGTGCTGGATACCTCCGTAACAGTAATCGCGTCGATGTCGAAGAGGGCCGCGTTGCAAAATTCGTGTCGAGACGTACTCAAAGACGCGTATTCTCTCGGAACTGTCAACCGTGTTGTCGGGACATTGCGCCCGACAAATCGACCTCGGGCATACGGTACGTACCTATCTGCAAGCATCCTGCAGCAGGTACGCACACCGTCACATCTGTTCCCCAGAGCAATTAATTTTCATCTTGTCTCTCCCCTTCATGCTCCCCATCAACGTTGTTCACCTGTTGCGTGCGTGTCCTTATCTCCGCGCACGATGATGCCCTTCGTGCCATTTCTTCGCGCGCGCCATCAACCAGGTGAATCGTGGGTCGAAGAGGGTGGGGGAGTTGAGGGTGCTGCTCCCCCGGGAGGGGGTAATTACAACGACATCTTGTGTTTTCCGGGCATTGGCTAAGCGATGCTTGAACAATGGAAAATATTTTCGAGCTGTGCTGAAGCCAGCCGTGTGTTGTCATCATTAGATGGTGGTAATTTGTGCATTTCCGGTACAGTGTGTCATCGTGTGTTTTCCTTTGTTTCCGTCCGGTTTCGGGTTCCTGGTCTTGCTAAATCTTGTTTGCTGTTTGTGGTATAGGGGCGGAGTGGGTCGTGTTAGTCGAAAATTGACTTGGCGCGAATGATTGGGAGAAATGCGTTTTGCGTATTGGTAGTTTTGTTGGATGTTTCCCTTTGACTCAGTCGAGTCGGGTTTTTGTTTTTGAACTTTCATGGTAATTTTTTGTGCATAATACATTCTTGTTGCGTGTTGTGTTGGTTGATTGCACAAGTGTTGTTTTGCCATGTCGTACGCGTACGAACTATTTTTCCGGGTGCCTGTGCCGCCGTATCGTCGTGTGTACCTACGTGTGTCGTTTGATCGCGGTGTCCCAGTACAGTTGGAGGACAAGGCGGAGAGGATCCGTCTTACCGTAGTAATCAGTAATATGTATTTTTCTTTACACGGAACATCAGTCCCCCCCTGAGTTTGCGTTCCAGTGCTTTCGACTTGTGTAGAGTTAGACCGGCCGACGTTTCGCGTATCAAAAAACAGTAGTAGCAACCTTAAAAGACAAAAAAATGCCTCCGTCGAGTTTTGGTTTTCTTCACTCTCATACTTTTACTTTGGAGCGGGGGGCATGCGGGTTGAGGAATATAACATCCACGCCATCCGTGAGTCAGGAGGGACCGAACTTGACCAAGGTAAACAACCGGGAACGACTGCGTCAGTTATCGTACTCTTTTTTCTAGGAGAGTCAACGGGCTCACACGGTTTGTGTGTAGGATTCAAGGGTTGTACGCTGGGGATGTATGCGGTTCACGACTGGGCTTTGTACGCAGGAGGGTAGGCTTTGCAGGGAGTACAAGAGTTTCGTAGCGTGTTTTTCGTTTCGGACAAACAACGTTGGTTCGTTTCTCAAGAACGGACAAAACCACGTTGGGTTGTTTTTCGTGTGTGTATGGTTGCTTACAATTTTTGGCTGCATACAGTTTGTGTATTTGCGCCACGGTAAGATGCGAAACGCGGGGCGTTGTAAGCATGGGGTCGAAAGAAGCCACTCGTACGTAATGTTGTCACTGTAATTTACTCGGATAGTCATGTACATGTAATAGGAATCATTACGGTTTGAGGCAATCGCTCTTGTATTTGGTAAGCGCAGATTTGTGGCACAGCATTTTCTCAAAAATTAGCTCGTGGTGGCGAGGAAAATCGCTCTTTTTGACAGTGAGGTGAGACAGCCGAAAGGGCGAAAAAAACGTCCAAGTGCTGGCTAGTAGCGCAATTCTGCGTATGTTGCCTTTTTTTTGTGGCCGAGGGTGCAGAGGTTGACGGAGGTTGATTGTTGACGCGTAAATTAAACGGTCTTTGCATACGAACATTCTTTCACTCTTGCGCTGTGACATGCCCTTGTCGGATGGCAGCACATGACAAACGCACACAAACCGCGGTGGTCTAATAGTCGAACTAGACCACCGTTAGTTACGGGTCGGGCTTCAGGCCGTTGCAAATTGAGTATTGTATGTAGCAGGTCGTGCAGATCAGTACTTCGATGCGACGTTGACAAGATAAGGTGGTCCGACAAGCACGCGCATGTCCAGACGGACAAACGCTGCAGCCTCTACCTTGCTGACCACGCACCACCACAGTAATCGCTGTGTCTCGAGTATGGTTCGACGGCGAATCGTGAGATTCCCGACGTACCTCGGGGTCCTCCTGCACTGCTGTTGTCCCGAAAGCTGTTTACGAATTCCATCCGTCTATAGTAGCGCTGAGGTCACATGTTCACAGGTAACAACCGTGATGTACTTGTATTGGTGGTGTGTTCTCCACTGTTAGTTCCGTTGCTTTTCTCCGTCACTCAAGGCACACGAGGGATATATCTCAAGTGACAAGTTGCCGTTCTGCATCACCTCGCTCAGTTCAGGGTCGCTCCGAGATGCGCGGGTCAAAACAACAAAAAACTTTCGCTTGTACTTAAAACATATTTTAGCAACCGCTGTGTAGGAGCCGAGTCCCGAAAACAATTCAAACAAACAAACAAACGGACCAGGCCGAAGTCGTGACTCGTGACCATCCACACCTACTACACCCACCGTATCCTTCGGTTGGCACTCTCGCGAAGTAAAAACAGACCTTCCATGCAAGCGTTCGTCCTAATCCCTACCCGCCAGCCACACCACGTTTGCCGTCGACAGTCAACGGTCAAACCAAGGCAAAACATGGACATCCCACTGAACACAAGAGAACAAACCGAAGCATCTCACTCGACCGTGCAAGCCCGCCATTCACAACAACATCTACAACTCGCCACGGTACCCACGTGCAACCAAGGATGCGACCAATTCTTCCCGTTTTCCTTCGGCATGAGTCAATATAAGCAGAAAGGACGCGGGGTTGTGACACACCGCAACTATTGTACTGTAGTATCAATGCATACACGCGAGAGAACACGAACGCACCACAAGGGGATTTGAACCAACGTTGCAAAAAACTGACGATTTGACACATGTTTGATTGTGGTCTTGATACTTCGGGGAAACTCAGACTGCTAAGGTGACGTTGAGGTTTCTCGACTCTTGTGATGCAACCAAACGCAGTTACTGTTTCCTGCGCAAGTCAACCACATAGTAGTCACAGCCCTCTCTACTGCAGTTGTTTCTTTGGACGACGCACATCTACGTGCTCCGTGGCAACAGAAAAACGAAGAACGAATGAAAACACAAAACATTGAATCATGAAGAAGTACTGATATACATGTGAACTACATCCAAGGCATCCATCCGATGTACATTTGGCAGAGGTTCTCCTGGGACGTCGCCTCCGTGATCAGCCGCTGCACCTATGAAGTAGCGTACAGCAATGGCCAATTCGAGATGCAATAGTATAAAGACGGGCGGGAAAGGCTGAGTCACGCAGACGGGCACGTCGAGGGGGAGCAAGACCTCAAGGTGATTGTAGGCTAGGCAGGTAGGCACTAACAGAGAAATCAAAGATGGCGGTCAGCTTGTCCAGTGGATAAGGCTTGGTGGAACTAGAATGTCACCCAAAGCGTGGCCAATTCAATACGCCTCACACCTGTCCTTGCACCGAAAGAGGGAGATCGTTGCCAGCGTCTGTAGCTCCGAGGCCGGCCGGGCGTGGCACGGCCAGGTTGTACCGCCCCTGCAGCCGCTCGTTGATCACGCGGAGGATTCTGACGGAGGGAAGGGAAGGGAGAAGATCGGGTTTGCGTTTGGGCCTTCGGGGCGGGGGGAGCACCTGACATGGACGGTGGTATGACATGTTTTGTTCCCAATCGTTGTCTGTAAACGAAAAAAAGGCTATCCTTCCCGAGAGGTTTAATCTTGACAGGTAGTACTTCAGTCAAGAAAATATAGCCTTGAGAATCGGCGACTTGCTTAGCACTATCGCATTCTTCGGTTCCCTACGTCCAATGGCCCCTCGCCAAGTAAGGCGAACCGTTCTCGAGTGTGCCAAATAACTATCGAACACCCGGAGCTGGTAGTTGTCGCTACCAGATCTTGTGATCTCTGAAAAGCCATAAACTCCCCACCTCTTAAAAAGACGATACAAAAAAAGGACAATCAATAATTCGCTCGTCTCGACTGGCGTATCCCCCCTCCCTCGCCCCCTCCTCCATGGGTCAAACTTCTCCCAACACTTCACGACACAAGTCACAATCACAACACTCAAACCCAGTGATCAAAAACACGACAGAGGTCACGCTGTCCACATGGTGGCGGGTGGCGCCGCACACGGCCACCACCCACACCAGCCACCAACCTACCTAAACCTATCGTCGGGTGTGTCGTTGCCTACCTGTCCGCGTCTTCGTTTTCGCGCTCTCGCCCGAGGTCCGCCCCGGCCCCCCCGCCGTCGGCATCGCCGCTCATGTCGTCGTCGCTCGAGTCTCCGGTCGTCGGCCGTTGGGCTCGACCGCTCCTGCCCCAGCCCACGGTCGGGTCCTTCGAGGGTGGTGCGGTGTTGTGGCGCAGTGTTGTGGCGAACATAGAAAGACGGGATGGAACATCAGGTGGTGGTGGTGCTGCTGCTGCTTCGGGTAGTGTCAGAGATGGCTGTGTGGCTGGCCAATGCCGAGGTCTGCAGAATTCGGGTCATGGACAGTCAACGCTGGGCTGCAGAAAACATGAAAACGTCACCGCGATGTGGTTTTGATGCGGAGCCGCAGCCAGAAATGTCTTTTCAATCGCCAACTCTGGGATCAACTCCGAAACAACATGAGAGGAGACGGGGAAATCCTCTCACGAGTGGGAAAACACTGTACCAGGCTATTTGACAAAACGGCTACCATACATTCTTGGCAATTTTGCGCCACTAACCTCTCCCCGTGGCCATTCCCAAACAACCTTACTCACGGCCTTATCGCGTGCCCTGCCCCAGCGTAACTACACATATCTCAATCCGTGCACTCCCCCACTCCCACCAACGCTCTCAGCCCACCTCGGTATCTCGCTGGGCAGGACTACCAGGGCTGTTGCGTCGCTCATGGAATCAACCAACCAGCGAAGCAACCAACCAATAAACCAATCAAACAACTCCTGAGTGAGGGTCTACGGATATGCACGGTAATCACTACCAAACCAGCTACCAGCGGGCGTACTTCTCCTACAACCCCGTCTCCCTTATCTTGCCTGCAAGAAGGGTTCCAGCACGCTCAGCAGAGTTTCTCGGTTGGTCCTCAGCACCGACATGGATGTCTCCATGACCCGGCGGTACACGCCCTCGAAGCCGCATAGGCCCATCCCGTCCACCATGGACGGCGTTAGCCGGAAGGGGACGATCTCGGGTCTGGCCAAGCTCAAACCCTACACGAAAGCATGTGTTTCGAGTCGCGTTACAGGGAGGAACGTTCGGGTGATCTGGCGAGGGTCAACTTCTCGAAAGATTCAAGAACACGAGGTACACTTCTCGTATCCACAGCCGAGTTGCGCAAGGAAAGGCTTTGGTTCGGGTAGACAAGTTGGTTTGTAGGCGGCACAACACATGGCGGTGCTCGCTACAACGTGCGCGACGCGCTGAGCACACCAGCTAAGAGATGATAACCATACGTGCACGCGCTCGTTCGGGTCTCTCACTGCTGTGATGTGACGTGTTTCATACGGTAAGCGTTTCGCGCATGCAGACGTGTGTGAGATTTCTTCATGAGCGACCGGGCCGCATGATGGCCAGACCCAAACCCACAAACGCGTTCCAGCTAAAGCCGTCAGCACTGCTATCTTGATCAATCTGCTCAGCACCAGATGCTCTCTCTTCGCGCGTACTTGCATTTGTTTAATCCATTTTTGTTATTTTTTCGCCTACTGGTGTTGTCAAAGCGGCAAATAGTCGCAGCGATTGCAAAACAAGAAAGTGCCCAAAAAACATGAAATACCTTGTCGAAGAGGCAGTCGAAGTCCACGTGGACGCATTCGCCGCTCTCGGTGTGGATGAGAATATTCTCGCCATGCCGATCCCCCAGCCCGACCACGTGCCCCACGCTTGACCAAACAGCAGCCGACCTACATTGCAGCGAGAAACAGAACGGAATCGTTGTCTAAAGTCGGAGGAATGGTAGAAGCACTGGTCGTCAGGAACACCATGATGAAACACGGCAAGTTTTTCCAGAGCGGCCACCCACGGGTACAGAAAGTGGTCACTTGCATTAGTGCACGAGGAAAGAAACAAGCGAGAAAAGAAACGAATGCGTCACCTGGTCTCGAAACACAAACCGCAATGTAAGCGCGCCAGTAGATACAAAATCGTCGAAAGCAGTCTTGAAAATCTAACAGTCTTGTTGCGTTAAACCTGAACGATCATCAATGTCCACAGCATTGTCGCCCCAGTTATTACCACCTCTAAATTTGCGCCACGGTCTGCATGATCATACGACAGACCTTAAAGCGTTGGTGCGTTCTAGATGTATGCAGATGCGTCGTTGGTCAGGGGTATAAGGATAATATCTCAATGGACAGCAATACGATACCTCCCCCCTGTCCCCCCAGCGCTGGCCCGTCCCGTGCTCGAGAAATAGTCCGCCAACGAAAGACAAACACCCCGCTTCTACGATGCAGCAGTGTACACAGTGCGAGGCCCCGTGTGCCCGCCAAGGAACAACCAAACGGGTAATATCATGTAAAGACTCCGTGCAGCCGGCCGAATCACTGATGGTACACGGCTTGTCTGCCCACCTCGCGAAAGTGGTCCTCGCCTCAAACCAGGCGGTGGGCTCCGCGAAGTGGTCGACAAACCACAGCTGGAAGCACGGCTGCTGGACATCCAGGATGTTTTGGCGGTACCTGCGCGAGAGGATGAGAGGCGCGTTGGGGGAGATGTACACAAAGAAAAAGCAACCTCCGAACCTTGGCACCCAATCTCTCTCTCTCTCTCTCTCTCTCTCTCTCTCTCTCTCTCTCTCTCTCTCTCTCTCTCTCTCTCTCTCTCTCTCTCTCTCTCTGTCTCTCTCTCTTGTCTCTCTCACATCTGCAATGCAGTCGGCATCCCCGACGGTTGTGCGGCCTTGAGCTGAACCCTGTCGAGGGTAGTCCTCACCTGATCGACCAACAAAGAAAACAAAAACAAACAGGGCACATGCGTGCCACTACCGTGTCAGAAAGCGGGAGCTGAAAATGCGCAGCGTACAGAACCTAACCAGAAGAGGGGAGGGGACTATACGACAAGTATGGCGGTCGGGTGCAGTGAAAGGTTTCACGGTACTGGGATGATACTAAATGATACTGATGATACGAGGGTCCCATGGAAGGAACACTCACAAGAGAGCTGTAGCTGTACGGCTGAGGTACCACGTTCAAAGGGCTCCAGAGAGAGATGTGGGCAGCAACATGAGTCAATGCAGTCAAGAGACAAGAGGGCAGCACCATGTATTGAAAAATAAAGAGATAAATGATCAAGATGGGGTGCAAGAGAAGCCGTATGATGCCATCAGGAGATACGCCAAACAACAGGAGTGTGCGGCAAGAGAGGGAGAGGGATGACGTGTCTTGTCAGGACGATCGTCTCTTCACCTGGACTATTTGGGGTGGCTTTGCAGCGGGGCTTGTCGAGCTCCGGGCTTTGATCTGGTAGGCTTTGTGAACCAGGATGCGGAAGCCAGTCGTGTCCTATTGCAGTTCAAGCAAGCAAGGCAAGGGGGTCGTTAGAAGGAGGTGTGAGATACCATCGTGAGGGCGGGTGGGTAGGCGGCAGGTGCACACAAAGAGTATGAACAGCGATCAATGTTGTTTCTCTCGAAGCCAAGGGCCCACGGTTTAGGTATTCAAAATACTGCAGGAGACTCAGCCAAAACCACCCGTTACCTATGTTTGTCCCTACCCTCAGTCGACTTTAAACCCCTATCAACCCTTTGGTGTTAATCCTTTGCTTGAAACCTCTTCCCGCTTCACCTCAACCCACTCCAACACGCCACACTCTTCGTTGAGGCAGATGACCGCGTAAGTTCGGAGCCGGAGCTTCCTCGTACGCCCCGCTGGATTCTTCTGCAAGAGACGGTTGATCATGCCGTTGAACTCCATGAGCCTCGCATCCTTCCTGAGATCTCCGTTTCGCTCCTGTTGTAGGGCAGCCGTGATAGCTACGGCTAAGACGGTGCCACGGAACTCATACCTCTTGTTCGTAAGGCACACCGGGCAACACCAATGCCGGAAAGGCGCGCGAGGAGCAAACACACAAAAACAACACGCACACCGCAAGAAGCAATGTCGCCGCTTTCTACAAGACATCTAAACTTAACGGCGGATGGTTCGAATCGAGCCAGTGTGCCCACCGCACTAGGCAAACACCTCCATATTCATGCGCTTTACTCCACATAACGTACATAATCAGGTAGAAGAACTTCCGCACTACAACTGTGGTTTCGCCGATAGTTCTACCCGACATCGTTGATGAAACTAGCTATCGTAGATTGCAACTGCTGCCTATCTTGGGCTTCTTCCTTCTACCACAGCCCAAAGAAAGCACAACAACCACAACATAACACAACAAGAACAACAACCACATCATTGTCAAAACCACAAAAAGATAACAACGAAAACAACAACAACAACAACAATAACACCTCCAACAACCACAACACCTCCAACAACAACGACAACGCACCTGCTTGCAGAGGAAGTGCACCTGCTCGCCCGTCTCGAGGGTCTTGAGGGACACCTTCTTGGGCTTGGCTTTCGAAGTCATGTACTTCACACGGGTGTGGAAGCACTTGATGTGCATCTGCGCGACAAAAACGACAATAAATCGCGGGGTTTTGACAAATCATAAAGACATCTATTCATGCTTGGAGATGCACATATCATCTGCCACAGTTTACAGCGGACGAAATTCTAGCTTAAATTATCGTATGCAGAGCATGTGGCACTGCTACATAATATTGCTGCGTAGCTCTTGGACAATAGCACCGACATGGGAAACAGATAAAGCATACTATACCACTTATCAGCTCGAATACGAAACGATCGCCAACAAGAGGATAAACCCTAGACCAAAAAACAACGTCGAACACAACGCGGGTGAACACAGACGTCGAACACAATACAGCCGTACCTTACTGGCATTCCCGGACAGCAATAACATTTGATAAACAGACTATCTCTCTCTCTCTCTCTCTCTCTCTCCTGCACGCGCACGAACCTCTCCCCCCGGGAAAGGGTTGTGCGCAGCAACCGCCGCCGCCGCCAACACCTCCGCCTGCGAACACGGCACCTCTTCCGCGGCCTCCGCAGCAGCGGTGGCGGCGGCGTCGGCCGCAGCAGCAGCCCTGCCCTTTCTCCCCCCGCCGCCCCATGCAGCGGCTGTGGCGGTAGCATCCTTGCGGGGTGCTTGGGGAAGGCTTACGGTAAGCGCCGCCTGTTTTTTTTATCGTAGAATCGGCACGGATGTCAGTTACGCAAGAGCGAGGCCGGAGGGGGGGGGGAAGAAGAGGGGAAAATGCTGATTGGACGAATTCGGGCACAGAGAGCACCGAGAAGTAGGTATCAGGAGTTGTGGTGGCGAGATGACGGGAAATGGGTCCCGGGGAATTGCGTGTGACACGTCCTCAATGTACTCCGCACACAAGGGATCAGATCAGCGCCACTCGACATTGATCCGTAGGCATCAAAGTACTTGCAGCTATAATGTTGTGCCTGTAAACGTCTCCCCCCTCCCGTTCCCGCGTGAACGCTTTAGAAACCTACATTCCTAAAATGCCGTAGCACAAAATCGCATGATACGTCTCGAAGAAAAGTGAAGAAACGCAGTCCACATTTCCTCGAAACACCCACACATTGCCACTATAGTAGAATCTGGCTGGTTCTCGCCTGCACTGGTACGATGAAGCGGTGAAGGTCCATCCGGTGTCCGATCTTGAAGTGGGCCTCCTTTAGGTTCTTTGGTGGCTGCTCCTCCGCCACGGTGATCAGCTCGGAGAACAGCGCTTGGCCATCCTGGAAATAGCAAGATATTAGCGAGGCGCGTGTTGCTCCAAGAAACAACGGCAAGACCATATCTGCTGGTACACATGATGAGGTACTGCTGGCACAGAGAAAAATGGTTTGAAAAAAATGCAAAAGACGCGTTACTCCCATCACGAAACAATAACAGCAGCAGCAGTACCTCATCACCGTCAGTGAGATCGGGAAATCTGGTGCGCCATCGTGCACCTTCTTCTGGTCTTCTTTCGCCCGTACCGGTAATTTTTTGGCGGTGGTAGACATTCCCGCGTGGCGCGGGCGCGGACTTAGATGCTGGCGTGGTATGCCATTCTTCACGGTAATGGCAATCAACTTCAACAATAGCAAAAGGAAGGAGCGAAGAAACAAACGCCGACACGCAAACACCACTGAATCAAATGACATGCCCACCTGAATAGCAACGGCTTCCCCCTGCTTTCCCTCCGCATCTAGGAGACGCCTCGCCTGCTCGAACACCCGGTTGCCGACCTGTAACGTTTCAACAAACGCGTTGATGATGACAAACGATGTATTCACGATGATGATGGTGGTAACAATGGCAGCAGAGGTGGGTAGCAGGAGGGCGGAGAGATTCAAAGGGAGCTCAAGAAAGTGGGAGGGAAGGAGCGGAAAGAATCCTAGAGTATGAAGAAACACGACAGAGGCAGACTGCGAAGGTCCTATGGAGCGACTCGCTGGCCTGTTACAGCGAGAGCAAGATCCCAATTTTCTTCGACTTAATAACGACGTGTCCTGGCGAAAGGCTAAAAATGACGCTGCAAGACGAAACCCAACAGGAAAAATAGAGATGTAGCGTTGTGAAGGTCACGTCACGCAGTTTGTGGTTCACCAGGGAGGGAAAACAAATACAAGACGCCCTCTCGGACGCATCCAACAAAATAAGCATTCTCCAAGCAAACAAAAAAAGTGCTGAAAATCTACAACCGCCAAAATCAAACACGCCTCGGTCCCACACCGGTCCTTCTTGGATGCGCAGAGATCAGTGCCACCCAAAATTCAAAACGAGACAGCTATTATCCAAGCCAAAACATGGTCCCGGACAAGAACCAAACCTGTCGACGGGTTTCGCTGATGGACAAACACAGGCTGGACAGGTGCCACAAGGCCTGCTTGGGATGCGCCCTGAGGAGCATTGCCAGCGCGTCTATGATCACCCTCAGAACATCCTCATTCGGGTGTCCCACACTGTTATTTGTTTGCATACGAGTCACGACAATTCGATGCGCAACGTATATAGGAATGACGGTTCGGCGTGTCAGATATGGGAGGTGTCGGACAACACGTGCGGATGCCGGGGGATAAAACCGAAAATCACGAGCAAAGGTTAAGGTTCTGTTCCGAACAGAACAGAAGCAATGCGAAGGAAAGCGGTGAGGCATAAGCGAACAGCGCCATCCTCGTCTCTGGGTTGGGTTCGATTGAGCTCGTCCGTAGCGAACGTCAAGCGCATTGCGCTGAAGACTGCGGACAGAACAGGTACCCCCCCTTCTTGAGGACGCGCGGTCAATGGTCTGCAACAGCTACGGCATGCAAAACATGAGTACAGCCCCCGCGCTCCCCTCGAACCGAGAGTGCCTACACGGTATTTTGCTTCACTTGTCCTTGCGAGAAGGAAGACGTGGACACTCAATTACTTGTGGAAACCTGAGAGATCATACCGGGATGTGAGCTGCGGCAGAGCGGTGTACCACATGTAGGGAGGGATCGTGCGCACAGCCTCCTTCACGAGGGCGGTGCTGTCGGTCTGGAGCTTCGGCACAATGCTCTTGGCCTGTGGTTGGTTGAAATTCGAGCATCGGCCGTTCTCAGCTTGCACGACATGCATATGGTATTCTTCATTCCATGTGCGGAATCGATGCATGCGCATCAACGGTATCGCATCTTACCGCAACGACGAGCCGACAACGAGATCAAGTATTGTTGGTAGGAAAGAGAGGCGTCAACAACAAGGTTAGGAAGGTGGTACGCAAAGCACGAAGCGTACCAACGCCGACGACCACCATCACCACAACAGCAACAGCAACAACAGAAACAACAACAGCATGAACAACAACGACGACAACAATAAAATCAACAGTAACTTACTTGCGCCACCGGACGCTTCTTGCCCTTGGCAGCCGCGGCGACAGCCTTGGCGTTGGCACTCTTACCACCCGCACGTCTGAGGCGCGGGGTTTTCTCCTTGTCCTCCTCCGTCGATGGATCCCGCAAAAACCCGACCTTTCAATGGCGTTGCGCGGAGAACGGGGCAGAGGGAGATGTGGGGTTAAAGGGTTATCCTGGAAGTAGTCATGCGCACTTACAGCTGCTGTAGTTTATGGTATATAGGGGAGGAGGGAGCGCGGGGGATATTCGTTCTGCGGCGTAGTCGTCCTATCGAATACCGTCGCCCGCATGTACATACGGAGGATACGCAATCCGGGGTCACACAGAACAACTACAACACCTCGATGTGCATCCTACAAGAACAACCGCTCTCGAACAAGTGTACTGGAGCGACATAAATCGACGAATCCAACCTATCCACGGGGACCTGCAGTAGTGCACTTCTGTACAGTACCTGAAACCAGAGAGTGAGCAGGCGCGGCATGCTCTGGAAGATGTACTTGGCGCCAAACTGTTGAGAAAACAAACCAGTTGAGAGAGGCAAAACAAAAAAAAACACGGGGGTCACGGCGAGTGACAGACGTGCGAAGGAAACAGAGGGTTGTGGTGGCTGAAATATCGATAAAAAAGGGGGTCGGGGGCCAGGACACCAGAAATGCCACGCATGAGGTCGCTCGGTTGCGCGTTGTTCGTGAGTAGCGGCAGTGGCAGTGACGTAATTTGCCCAACGACAAGAAAATAAACCAACAAAGGAACGAAGGAGCGAGAAGGCGACAATAAACGCAGAGCGAATGATGAGACGGGCAAAAATAACGCCGGCTTACCCTTGCCTATTTAGACAGTGGGTGGACTACGACGGCGCAGAGCTACCCTCGTTAGCATCGAGAGTAGATTCCAGCGAAATGACAGAGACATTTATTTGTAGGAACCCGTCCTCACTCCACTAAAGTAACCCGCAGAAGGAAGGCGGTGGGCTGCAAAAGCAGCAAGTGCGCCTAAAAAAAAAACCGGAACGACGAGAAACAGAACCTACCCTGAGGCTACGAGCGTAGTTTTCCATTGTCTGCAGGGCAAGCTTGTGTGCCAGCTCGTCTCCCGCCCAGCCGCCCCTCGGCCCTGGGGTCCTCTGCTGCCTGCCGTTACCCTTGCGCTTGCCCCCCCCGCCTCCCCCATCGCCGCCGCGATTCCCGCCCCCCCCACGCCTCGCCGCCAGCCGCTGCAGCTCTTCGACCCTGGAAATGACCAAGACATCAAATTACGAGGGCAATCCTCTCAACGCCGATGACACGGAAAACATCAGCCATTGTACCCAAAACGTAGACGGAATTTTCGACGTATGACGGGGAGCCGAATAAGGGCCAAACTTTTTCCGTCACAGCAACTAGGAAAGCCGGGAGACGAGAAAGAAAAAAGAGGGACAGCATTGCACGACTTGCCCTGGTCCGACGCTACACAGTAAGGCAGCGTGGTATTCTACACACTCAACACGTTTAATGTAGCACAGATGCACATGGCATATAGGAGAGGGCGTGGCGTGTATACATCCAAGTTTGTTTCGAAAAAAACAACAAGATTCCCCGTTGATACCAGAAGGTAGTGTTGGAAACATCTCGGCGAAAGCTAGCCGAAAATAAACCCAGGTTTTGATGCCCTTCCAGCTCTAGAGAAACCGGGCCTCAAGATTCCGTGACGGTTAAGCGGAGAGGGCTAATCTGCTGCGTTAGCCCCGGAATAGTTCGCAAGGGTCGGCATGGGAGAAGTGGGCGAGCTCAGCCATAATCTGGAAAGTAAGCCACTTCTTGAGCAACGAAAAACATGTTTTCAAGATGAGAGATAGGCTGCGAGCTCACCTGGACTTGAAGAGGAAGTCGACGTACTGCCCCAGGCAGAAGTAGCCCTTCTCCCAGCCCGGCCGGAGCTGCAGAGCAAGCTTGTACCTGGCGACCACGGCCTATGTCGTGCAGCATCGCATAGTTGGGTTACCGCGAGTGGAACGAAACACACAACTTACAAACACACACAACACGCTCCTATGGGAGAGGAAGACAGAAACGAGGCAGATGATAAAAAGAAAAACCGTGTAAATGGGCTGCATGCCTTGTGTCTCTCGTGAACAAGACCGAGCATCTCAGCTTGCAGTGCCGAAATGGGGAAGAGATAATCCGCGAAACGGTCTAAACAAAACACCATGCATTCCCTGCACGGAAAGATTGAGTTTCTATGCATGCACTCAATAAACGGGCAGATGAGGTATCTACAACGTGCGGCGTCTCCCCTTCACCAACAGGTAAAATAGAGACTCACAAAAAAAAGCAACCCTCCCTCGCCTCGCTTTCCTTACCCTCTCGCCTTTCCAACACCCATCAACGACAAAATCAAATAAGCCTCTCAACCCCCCGACACATGGATACACATGTGGCGCGCCATCTCCTTCACCTGCCCGTGCTTCTGTCCAGCCTCGACGATCCACTCCGTCGTGAGGAGAAGCTTGCGCGCTAGCTGCAACCTCTCGTCCCCGTCAATATCCAGACCGCTCCGTGGCAACGACGAGGAAGAAGTGCCAACACCACCGATCGCCGTCCCACCTGCCGTATCGTCGACCAGGAGAACAGCAGAGTGGTACATAATTCGCACAAAAACGTACACAAGCACGCACGGGTCAGAGATGGGCGTCGGATAGGCACGCTACAGCAAACATCCCGGCAACATGTAACTTGAGAGTTGCCGTACCAAACGACAAGGAAACTATTTTCCTCAGACTGTATTAAAACTACGGAAAGCATCAGCTGCTCTACTCGTTCACGTTTCCCTCAAGGGTTTGACAGAAAATTCCACAGAACGCCCCCCAACGCATGGTGTCATCCCTTCCATCATCAGCACCATACTTGCGCTCACACTTTGTACGAGAAAAACACAACCCTTCGCACACGAACTAACGAACGACTCGTGAAGTGCGTGCCCGCCCAGCAGGGGTGGAGGTGCCCTCCAGTAGTTAGCATTGTACCAAGGATGACACAGCGCCACGTTACATACCTCATCGGCGAGATCGGGCCCGGCGTGTTGCCGGGATTGGAATCCTCTCTCATTCGCGTGGAAACAAACGACTCAACACTCTGCTCCTTTCCGAGGAGCACGGTAAGAGGTTTCGCGGTGCACTCACCGCGACTCTTGCTGATAGTACCCGTGTCGACGGTGAGCAGCGCTTTCAGGCTGTCCACGTCCGTCTCCACAGGCTCCAGAATCACCAAGGCGCGGTGGACCTGAACCAAAGCGGTTTAAGAAGTGATCAAGCATGTAAGCTCGCACGCAGAAGAAAACTCCTCCTACGTGTCTGGCCAAGAGCACCATTCCCACCTCTAGTCCCCACACCCGACCGACCGATTTCGTTCCGTTCCATGCCATCTTACCTCATACCATTCCATTTCGACTTGCCCAATGCCGCCCACAACACGGGATGAGGCGAGAGATCGATTGGAGCTATCACGGTTGCTGCCTCACCCCCCATCTACAAGCATCACCAACGACCCCCCTTCTCATTTTAACTCACCCCTTCTCTCTCGCGCGCGAGCTTCGCCTCCTCGAACGCCAGCCTGTCCTGACATACCCCGAGCCTTCCCGCGCGACGCAGGGCCGCCCCGGCCACCGCGAACTGCCCCGCCGCCCGCGCCCTCTTGGCGAGCTGTAGCCAGTTGTCGGCCTGCGGGCCCTCCAGCGAGCACAGCTCGAACGCCGCGCGCCGCAACTTTTATTGGTGGCGGTAGCGGCGACGACGACAAAATCACAATTGCGGTGTGGTTAGGATGAACGTGGTACATTGGTACATTTGGTTTGTTGGTGTGGTGGTTACTTGTTGCCGTGTTTGGGCCGTTGTCGTAGCAGTTGTTGTTGGTGCTGCCCACCATGTTCGGATATTTTTCGTAGCCTTGCCGCTAGATGGCTATCTCTTATCCTCACCGCAAGAACCGGGGCTAGTTTCCGCAAGGACGCGCCCATCGCGGACAGGCGCTGCTCCCAGCCAAGGCTCCGGAGTGCCTCTTGCCTCTTTGCCGGCTCTCTCTGCCCGTGAATCGCCTCGAAGGCCTGTTCCGCTTCCCTGCAACAGCAACGACATCATTCAGCAGCAACATTGATAACAACGACAGAAGCAGCAGCAGCACCAGCAGCACCAGCGGCATTGAGCTAGATGCGGAAAAACAGCATCATACACAAGCGCACAAAAGCAGCGGTTCCCTTCACGGCAGAAAAAACACAACATGCCGCAACACATCTGACGCCGCAAGGCAGCATAAAACTATGAGAATCATACGGGCAAACACAGGCATGTATATACACGCAGACAACACCAACGAGCACTCATGTACACACCGCAGTTTTTTCCTACGTTCTTCCTTGTTCATCCGAAGGTGTACTTCTCCCCGCCCACTCGACAAGAATCGTACCTGAGACTGTGCAGCTTGAGCAAGAAAGGGTACGCCCTCCGGTAGGACTCCATGCTGGCTGCTCCCAGCCCGGCCATCACGTCCGCCCTGGCCTGGGTGATGGCTGCGGCGAAAGGCGCTGGCCGGGCCTCTTCCAGTCGAAGCATAACCTGGTCGGATTGTTTTCGTTGGCACGTGCCATCGGTTCTCTTGCTTTCGTTTCGTGTAGTTTCGAGCTCAGTTCAGGGTGCTCCAAATCAACGTGAAGCGCTTAACCTCGAGTCGTTCCATGGACTTTCTATCCATGGTGTCTCAAGACTTCTTCTTTCCATGTTGCAGTGTGCTAACTGGCCCGTAGAAATTTTCCAGAAGCTCGCTCACGAAGAGACTGTTGAGTACGCTTGTGTTGAGCGGAGTCAAGATGAGTGGCGCTTAAGTGGCCACGAAAGGTACTTGAGGGAGACCAGTGAGGTGAGGGCGACCACAGCACGGAGTGAACAGCCAGGAAGACGTACACCGGACAAATGTATGTAACCGATGAGACCTTCATTTACATTCATTTTGGTGGGTTAGAATAACGCCATTACTTGAACGATACCGATTGGCGCGGCAACACATGGTAACATTCTGTAGGTGCTAACATCTACACGTGCAAATGCAGACCAACTTCATGCTACAGGAGTTCTACACGGCTTGACATTGTACAATCCAACAAAAATCGATGTTGTAATGTTGTGACATGAAAAACCGTTTCTAGCCTCTGCAGCCCAGCCCCCCCCCCCCCCCTATTGAGCACGGGTACATGTGGGGTGAATCCGGCTGGTGTCCACAAGCCAACACGACAGGTTCAAGAAAGACCGTTGCGAAAAATCAATTTTCCAATGTGATCAAATGAGGCAGGGAGGGAGCTCCGCGTCGTGAAACTGTCCGCGTGATCTCTGTGCGAGCAACAATAACAGCTACCACAGGGTAATCCGCCCACGTCGATGAACACACCCGCCGCTCCACAAGGCGGCAGAACGCAAAACAGATCCAGCCTCCGGGGGCGATTTCGTCTGCTCGATATTGCAACGAGGGGAATCTATCGATAATGCGCGACCGTCGGGACAACATACAGTTGACGACGTTCGGCTCTTGTCCCCGTCGCTACTGCGCAACCGGGTGTAAAAGAACGCCTTGTGAGGTGTGGCATCGCCGTTGGCATGCGATTCTCCACACCAAATCGAAAAGGTCCGTCCCGCTCACCTTCCCAAGCGCTAGCCGGTAGCGGCTCTCGCCTGAGAGCTCGTCAATCACGAAGGACGGAGAGGCCGCCGCCCGGCCGGCTCCCAGCCCACGGAGGCGGCCACCGACTGCGTCAACGCCGGCTTTGTTCTGCATCGGAAAATAACAAATCAGACGAGCAGCGCCGCAAGAAACGAGGAGACTACAGTAGCAGGGTCATTTCCGGGGTACCGTGGACTCCCGTTCTCTTCCCGTCCTTGTCCCATGAGCTACACAACCTCAAAAACCTTAGCCTCGACTACAATACACCACCAGTGGAGAGAGTTTCCCCAGGCAGAGTTGGACGCGGCGGAGAGGGTGGTGGAAGGGGGGCTATTGGTCACGATACTTGTTGCCATAGTCAGTACCAACCGTAGCGTCCAAGACGTCCCTGCGATTGGCAACACCGCAAGAGCTCAACAGCAGCAGCAGCAGCAGCAGCAGCAGCAGCAGCAACAGCAGCAACAGCCCCGGCGGCGGCGGCGCACCTGGTGAAGAAGATCCTGCAGCAGAGGCCACCTCTGTAGTCTCCACGAGGCTTCCACAGCTACGGGAAGGAGCAGCGGCGCCAAGTGGTGCTTGCTCGGCACGCTCAGCATGCCCGAAGCCTGCAAAGACGGACACGCCCAACAAGGCGAAGAGATAAACAGAAAGTGTGAACGTTCATCGACAACATCGAACTATCACCAAGCACGCTTAAACATGCCCACACAGGTAGGTATTACCTTACGTGTCGCGAGACGATTAGATGCGCAATCGCAATTGTTAGACAACAGTATACCAGCACTGTAGGACTACGAGAACAACATCAACTACAAGAAGGTTGCGCCTTCAAAGCCGGAGAAAATCTAACGAATTAGACCCTCGTAGGGTCTTGTCTGCCGCAGATGGTTTCAGGCGTAGCAGCTGCACACAACGATGCGACCTATGGTTGTTTTCAAACGTACGCCATGCTTGACAACAATAACAACAACAACAACAACAACACCGTCCACGCAACAAACGACCACAAACATGTTGCTCCACACCTGATGGAGAAGCATCTCGAGGTGCCCAAGCTCCACGAGGGCGTTCAACATCCCTCTCTCCACCTCTCCTTCCTCCCACCCATCCCCCTCGAACCCTTCACGCCCCTCTGTCCCTGCTTCTTCTTCTCTCGCTCTCCCTTTCCCATTCCCTTCCCCCCCCGCTTTCCCGCCACCGCTGCCCTTGTCTTTCTCCTCTTCATCGTTGTTGCCTCTGGCGAGGTCGACGATTGGCTGGGTTGTTTGCATCGTGCCGGCCCGGGCTCTGGAGGTCTGGGCCGCCATCTGCTCGTACCTACGATTCGCACACGCAGCGTATAGGTGCAATCCAGGATGACTTTGGGGAACACCGTTGGCATTGGATCATCGCTAATCCTACGCCAGGACGTACCGAGTTGACTATCCCAAGGCACCACCGCCTGTCTCGCATCGCCTCACACACCGTCCTCCCGCATTTTTCACTACCACATTCAAGAGTGTTGACAAAGCGTGTTATAAAAACAATCGGCGTTCGCGTCGTCCTGCAAATCTCCTCACCAATATATCGACATCCCCCTTTCCCTGCTTGTCTCGAGTAGTTTGGGGGGAAATTGTTCTTCGTTTGGCGTACGACTCAAAAATTGAATGGCTTTCTACACTGTGCTTTTCTCGAGGCGTGTTTCATCCAGGGGAGCGGCCGGATGGACGGCCATGGAGGCGTGCGTGTCGCCTGCCACCACCACGCAAAGCACCGAAACAACTCGGGAAGTTAGAAAAACCCTCCCCCTTCTCGTACGTGGAACATTAACATACTCGGACATTCTTCTGAGTAAAACATCGGCACATGTCGAAGGGACATAAGGAAAGGAGGGCGAACATCGGGAGGCACATTTCTATCTCCTTGTCTCAATCGTGGGTCGCAGTGCCAGAAACATCTCCGTATTTCATAACCAACTACGTGTAGGCCGCCACACACCTGTCCTGCATCGGGTCGGCCCGCCTCCGACGGGGGGTTTGACTGCGCGCCATCCCCTTGCGGTTTAGAGCACGCCCACCGAATTGTACCAACTCCCGTTCCTGCAGTGCCTGCTCGTACACCTGTACGAAACGATCGAAAGAGCGCACGGAAACAGAAACACGTGATTCGAAGCAGGGAATATTATATTGTAAGCATGCAGGGCAAATTGTGGCCGAGGGGCAAGACGTGGTTGGTCTTCTGGTCGAGTTTGGGCAGAACCGAAGCGGTTTCATGATCAGCGTGGGATACGACGTTGAGATTGTACAGCATGCGCATACGAGACACAGAAGATGCCAGCACAATATCATCACACCCACCACCACCAACAGTTGCAGCAACAGCAAGGTGCCATCATACCTCCAGCGCGCCCGCCCAGTCCTCGGCGTGCTCGTGTTGCCAGGCCCGCTGCTTTAGCGTCGCCGCGACTCCCGCGGCGCCACGCATCACGTCCAGCCCCACCATTCCGTCCGGCTCGTCCGACAGGGTGCGGTAGATGGCCTTACAAAAGCGGAACACCGTCCGCAACCAAAAGTCGCATGCATGAACACGCGCGCACAGAGGTCATCATAAAGTATATCATCACCAGCTGTGCACGAAGGCATCACAATCGCCATCATCATCAACAACAACGTTGTGCTACACCGACAGCATAAACAGGAGCGGTCGGGAGAGAGATTCGCAGAGAGAGAGCGAGAGAGAGAGAGAGAGAGAGAGAGAGAGAGAGAGAGAGAGAGAGAGAGAGAACAAATGAGCCAGTCCCCACCATCACCTGTCTCAACTCACAGCAGTGCTTCACAGATAGCAGTACAACCTTGAAGGTCCAAAAATACGCACGACATGCTCCGCAACGCTTACGAACGAGATTGAGCATACATAGCCACCCTCCATCCCAAGGCGTCGCCACTGGGTTCACAACGAGGGTACCCTAGCCTATAGTAGTACACCTACGTGCCACCTGTACCTGCAGCTGGTGTAACTCCGCCGGATTGAGCACAGGCAGCGTTCCGTTAGCGCCGTCGTTTCGGAACGCTCCGACCAGGCTCGCCGCCTGAACAAGAAAGAGCATCAAAGACGAAGCGAACAGGTACAGACTGGCTTATGAAAGAGATCGGGATATGTGAGCAGAGTTCAGAAGATACAGAGAGCCAGAGGGAGGGGAAAGTAGAAAGAACAAAAATAGTCAGAAAGCGTGGGAGGGAAAAAAACATGCAGCGAGCGCAAGAGAAACTAATTGCGTTGTATTGACGAGGAGAAGAGAAACACAAACTCGAAGGATGGTGGAGAGCGTATCATTGGTTCATTGGTTGACCACAAAAATGACGGAGAGAATCGGCCACGTCATACACACGCAAGAACAAAGACACTTTGGTCCATCAGCGGAGAGGGAGGTGTCATGCTCGTGTTGGTTTTCTTGGCAATACGGCCATTCTAACTATGAACACCCACGCTCCAACATTCCGCCCGAATCCTGACTGAAAAACACAAAATCACAACCTCCCGCGATTTCTCAAGGCCTTCACAACGGGCCAAAGACAATTCAAAAGTGCTCACTGGAGAAAACTGCACGGAAAACGTGCAAAAATACCACAAAAACCAACATGACGCACGGATTGTCTCCCCGTCGCCGTTCGTCTGGCCACGTGCTCTGTTCGGATCTGTTCCTCGAGGTACCGCAAAGCCCTCGTGTACGCTCGGACCCGAGTCGCGGCCCCGACCAGAACGCCTCTTGGAACACGCCCAACGAACTCCAGCAGGGCCCTATGATACGCCGTAAAAAACAAACAAACAAAAAGGATGGGGAGCGAGGGGTGGGGGGAGGGCTTACTCGTGACGACCATAGGTTATCGACCAATGGCCTTGGATCCTTGTCTATCCCAGAGCAGGATCGCATAAAACCAAGCACGGCGAGCTGTGAGGCAAAGCGGCGAGTCTCATTGAGGGTGAGGTGCGCGCTCGCTTGCGAGGAGGAAGTACTTCGGCACCTTGTGCAGTACGTTTGGCGCATGTGGATGATAGGGTCCAGACGACTCACTTCCTTGTCGCTGTGGCTACTTCCAGAGACATCAACGAGCGTACGCAACCGCCTCGGGGTATAAGGCCATGACTGTTAAGCACTACTATACGACACGATCACCTCCCGTGTGCGTGAAGCTAACGTTCTCGCCCCTGCAATGACCACACTCGGCCGTTTTTCGTCGTTACTGATACTGATACGACAACCCGGGTAACAACGTGCTTGCCTAGCTTACGCAGCGAAATTGACGTGTTACATGATATCTTTGGCCTAAAATGCTGCAAGGCGATTCGTTTTCCTAGGCACACGTGCTTGACTCGCCTCCTCCGCCGCTCCGTCCAAAACTCCGAAGATGGTTCATGGAAGAACAGACCCAAAGACCCCAGTTCGCAAACTCAAGGTGCATTCCTTTGGCACCTTGTAAAAAACAAAAGAAATGCACTACGCTGAGGACCCGATTAGAACCATTACCATTATGCGTGCGAATGCACTCACGCTCTCCGCACAGAAACGTCGGGCCACCCCGCGCTCCCGGCGGCTCCCGCTCCGCCGCTGCGCCGCTTTCTCCCGGCTGACCAATGACCGAGGCGATCGAGCAGCCGAAACGTGGCCTGGGTGGCAATGTGCTCGATCCCCCCGCTCCTCCTTCCCCCGCCGGCGGAACCGCTACGACCGGCACCACCGCGGCCACGACCAAGAGTGCGCGTGAGGGGCGATGCCAACCGGCGACGACGGACGCTTCTTGTGCTGCCAACGCTTCGAGCGCCGCCGCCGCTGGGGGCGCTTCGGAGCGCGGCCGTTACCCGCAGGCGCGAAGACGAGAAGCCTGCTGACAGGAGTCCGCGCGAACCTCCCGTCCCTTTTCGTCCTGTTGCTGACCGGCTTGAGCCGATTTGTTGTTTCGATGATGTCGCGCCGCCGGCGGCGGCGGCGGTGGTTTTCGCGCCGGCCGAGCGAGGAGCAGGGGTACGAGCGGCGGTCGGAGTGGCAGACGATGTCGATGCCGGCGGAGACGCCCCACACATCACCGCGAGAACCTCCTCAAGGACCTTTTCGATTGGCACAGGGGTGTGGAACGTTGACAAAGTCGGTGTGGGGAAACAGAGTGAAAGCTTAGATATACAGCCAGGAGCTGACAACAGACAGATAGACGATTGGATATAGAGTAGCAAGGAAATATCAAGGTCAAGAGGTACAGGTTTACGAGGAAATAGAAACAATGGACTAGAATATCTCGAGGCGCGAGAAGAGAAACAGGTTTACGAAAAAGGCTGCGAGGGTCCCCTATTGCGCTAGGCGTATCTCTACACAGGAACTGGTGTGGCTGTCCTTGATGTCACCGCCGCTTTGCGATTTCACATTCTCCTATGTGTCGTCTCGACTACGGCTACAGCTCTGTCGCCCTCCCCATCTGCCAATGAGAACAAAGGAAGAACGTTTTTTTCACGCACCCCTTCGGCGGTATGGTGCTCGTCGCTTCTAAATCACACGCAACTCTTGCAATGAATCGAGTCAGGTAGTTCGGCTCACTACCGTTTTCCAGTTTCGCTGTTTTCACCACCAACTACAACGCATATGAACGTGCTTTCTACCACCGCAAACTCTTACAGTTCCACCGCATAGGAACAATACCCCTAAAAAAAAGTACACTGCCGTTTGTATTGCCAATACTTGATCGAGCCGATTTGACAGATGGTACCTGGTTGGCCGCCTCCTTATCGCCGAAAACCAACACGTCAGCAACGAGGTGGGTCAGCAAAAATTGGGCCATGGGGGCATGCGCCCTCACTGCACCCCGGCAGGCCTCGAACGCCGGTCGGAGGGGGCCCCGCGAACGCGAGATGAGGTAGCGGCACCTGCAGCAGTTTACATACGAGAAGTAACCAGAAACGGGTATACCCGGGTGGATCATCACCATTTCAGGGTACACTTGGAAATCAACACGACACTAATCTCCGACAGCATCCGCCGTAGATCGCGGCGAAACCGTTAAACCGCTGTCTGTGTCCTGTGCCTCGGAAGCATGATGCGCGAGGCAGGTCGTGCCCGTTTTTCTCTCTCTGTGTGCCTCTCTCTCTCTGTGCCTTTCTCTCTCTCTGTGCTTTTACTGATCAGCACCACACCGAACGAACTCGCGCGTCAAGCGAGTCCGACCCTCTGTCGAGAGTATCCTATGGAGGCGGTGCCCATCAACGAGCGAGCGTTGTCGGTGGTTTGGTTTTGGGTATGTATGTGCGGTACACGGCATGTGCGGTACACGTTTTTTTCTGCGGGTTTTAAGCTAGAGCGTCGGGCGCCGGGATTACATGACCATTTCTGGGTACAAAATCGACCTCTTCCGGGTACACCAGTAACCAATATCGGTCACACCAGAGGGCCCTAATGCCAGCGGAAGTGGTACCCGATGGACGTTTCTTCAGAAATGGGTACGATGGTTTTTCGGCCAATCAGCTGACAGCCTGGGGGCGCAAGCGTGTTGATTTCTAAGTGTACCCTAAAGTGGTGATAAAGTACCCCGGTATACCCGTTTCTGGTTATTGGTCTTTACGTACATAACATGTTGGCACAAACGCGGAGCCCACAAAAGTTGGTATTCAAAGCTGGGAGGGTCTAGGTGGCGCATGGCTGATTATCGGAACATGGTGGAGATATTTTCTGGTCAGAGCCCCTTCTTCTCTATTCCGGCCGGTACTGCCACGCTCTTTCGGCGTGGGAGACGTTTTTTCGTCGATGCAATCAAACAAAAAATCACGTGTCAACGCCGACGCGGTAGGACACGGAACGAAACATCAAACCGTTCCGTTTCTCCAAAATGGCGTTTCGCTGTTGACTGTTGTGATTACCTACGCTTTCATCGGCCGCACATCATGCCGACGACATGATCCATGGCACGGCTGTGGACACAACAGGCGTTCCTGCGTGTGGAGACACCTTGAGAGCTCCCAACGATTGCTCTCGTGCCCCCGTACCATTCTGGGAGAAGAATAGGAATCAGATGGCCAGTGCCAACACCCAAAGGATGCCACTAGCAAGTTCGAACCCGGTACCGCATACCATCTGTGTGGGCGTTTCCCATCCGTTTTCTCGTACTTCTCCCATCTCCCTTCGGGGCTTTCACGATCATGGGCTACGCATAGAACTGTTTGATGGGAGCGAGAGCGAACAAATACCACAGCAAAAACAACAACCACCGACCTACTCTCCGCAAGAAAACAAGAGACCTAGTCTTCCCCTCACCAAGAGCTGAGCCATCGCTCGAGGCTGACGGTCATAGCGCGGTCGCGAAAGAAAGGCTCCTTCGACGACGGGGCCCGATCGGACAGCTTGTACGTGCTCGTCCAGAACGGTTCCACCACCGAGAGGACCTTCCATCGCATGATACGGAAATAAAAAAAACAAGATGTGACGCAAGTCATGACAACGCTTGTGACTTGCCTAGAAATAAATGCTCCTGTACAAGAGGATATTTCGAGATTTTGCTCTGACAATGAGAAGGATGCACACATCTCGCAGCACTTACAAATGCCAATCGTGATAAAAATACAAAGCGGTGGACCGCGCTCAAAACTCCATGCTCTAACGAGAAGAAGGATGAGATAGATACCTCGCTTGCAAACGCAACCCTTGGCAACTTCTGTTCAAAAGTTTCGCTACGTAAGCGAACAGCGGGTGGGGATGCAGAGCACAACAATGGCTGCGAAGATACAGTACAATTTCGCTGATATCATGTGCGATATCTTGTGACCTCATGCGATGTCTCTGTCACCTGGGCCTCGCGCAGACGTCGAGCAAGGCGCTCCGGCATCGCACCCCCCCCAACCGAGACGCTTCCTCCGGCCGCATTCCCAACACTTCGACCAGGACCCCCTCCACTACCACCACCGACTTGATTTTGGGCAATGCGCCCGCCGTCCGTCAGAGTGTCAGTCTCGGTGCCGTCCCCGTTTCCGCTCAAAATGCGTAGGAGTTCCTGAATACCGGTTGGGATGGCGCAGGAGCAGGAGGAATGATCGTTTATCATGCACGACGGTGTGTTGAATTCACGATCCCTCACATTGTTGCAAAGATCGCATGAAGGACTTCCTCAGGCTTTCGCCGGGGAGGGCGGAGGTTGTGCGTGTGGCATAAGTTCTTGGATGTGTTCGGCGGGGCGGGGGAAGGGGGGGGCACGAGAAAGCGGGGCCAGTACCAGGCGGGGGGGGGGGGGGGGGGGGGAAAAAAATTTCCCCCACCGGGAAAGGGGGGGGGAAACCCGAAAAAAATTTTTGAAAAAAAAACAACCCCCAAAACCCCCCCAAAATTTGAAAAAAAAAAAATAACCCCCCCCCCCCAAAAAACCCCTTTTAAAAAAAAAGGGCCCCCCCCCCCCCCCCCCCGGGAGCCCCAAAATTTCCCCCAAACCCCCCGGGGGCCCC